ACCCCCCCAGACCCCCGCCCAGGTAATTTTAAAATAGGAATAAAATATTTCTAATTTTTACTTTTACCTTACATTAAGTATTAATTATTTCTGCTTTTGTAATAAAATATTTGTCAAAATAAAATATTTAAAAAATGAAAAAAACATAAAATTAAATATTAAATAAAATAGGTTTTAGTATTTTAATTTTACTTTTATTAAGTATTGGTTATTTTTGCTCATAGAATAAGATATTTATTATTTTTAACTTTTACTTTACATTAAGTGTTAATTTTCATACTCGTTTAGCTGTTGATATGCCAATAAGTTGCCATGTTTATAACAAGCTATATCTCATTACGTACATGTTAAGTTGTCGTTATCTCATTATGTCAATATAATTTATTCTTCCCTTTATGTGCTTTCTTTCTCATTAAAGTTGTTATCTTCATATTAAGTTGTGTTCACATCAACTTATTGCAATCTTCTCGAGGTATTAGGTGCTCATTAGGTTGTTGTGTTCTCATTTAGTTACCGTGTTCCCTCATTACGTTACTGTGTTCCCTCATTAAGTTACTGTGTTCCCTCATTAAGTTACTGTGTTCCCTCATTAAGTTACTGTGTTCCCTCATTAAGTTACTGTGTTTCCTCATTAAGTTACCGTGTTCCCTCATTACGTTACTGTGTTTCCTCATTAAGTTACCGTGTTCCCTCATTAAGTTACTGTGTTCCCTCATTAAGTTACTGTGTTCCCTCATTAAGTTACTGTGTTTCCTCATTAAGTTACCGTGTTCCCTCATTAAGTTACTGTGTTCCCTCATTAAGTTACTGTGTTCCCTCATTACGTTACTGTGTTTCCTCATTAAGTTACCGTGTTCCCTCATTAAGTTACTGTGTTCCCTCATTAAGTTACTGTGTTCCCTCATTACGTTACTGTGTTTCCTCATTAAGTTACCGTGTTCCCTCATTAAGTTACTGTGTTCCCTCATTAAGTTACTGTGTTCCCTCATTACGTTACTGTGTTTCCTCATTAAGTTACCGTGTTCCCTCATTAAGTTACTGTGTTCCCTCATTAAGTTACTGTGTTCCCTCATTACGTTACTGTGTTTCCTCATTAAGTTACCGTGTTCCCTCATTAAGTTACTGTGTTCCCTCATTAAGTTACTGTGTTCCCTCATTACGTTACTGTGTTTCCTCATTAAGTTACCGTGTTCCCTCATTAAGTT